CTCACCTGGGGTACTGCGTCCAGCTCTGGAGCCCTCAGCACAAGAAGGACGTGGAAGTGTTGGAGCGGGTCCAGAGGAGAGCTACAAAAATGATCTGAGGGCTGGAGCACCTCTCCTATGAGGACAGGCTGAGAGAGTTCCTGTGACAGGACAAGGGGTAATGGTTTTAAACTAAACCAGGGTAGGTTTAGACTAGATATAAGGAAGAAATTCTTTACAGCGAGGGTGGTGAAACACTGGGACGGGTTGCCCAGAGAGGTAGTGGAGGCCCCATCCCTGGAAACATTCAAGGTCAGGTCGGACGGGGCTCTGAGCAACCTGATCTAGTTAGCGGTGTCCCTGCTCACTGCAGGGGGGTTGGACTAGGTGACCTCTAGGGGCCCCTTCCAACCCAAAACATTCTATGATTCTATGATCAATGGTGAAGGAGGACACAGTAATTTGGACAGGATTTTAGAGCATCGTGGCCCAGATACAAGCTAGGTTACCTTGCATGAGAGTTCAGATCTGAGTGACAAGCACCACAGTGAATAAACATTTTGGGGAAGACCTAAAGGAAGATCCTAAATACCTACATTCGGGGAGATAATAAAACATTTCCTCAATTTCAAATACATCGCTCCTGTATTGTAAGACAGCCAGCTAATGTTAGAAGTTACATGATACCTTGCTAATGGGGGATGAGGTGCTAAACCACAGGATGAGAACATGAAGCCCCATTCCAAACACAGGCTCCGAAGAGGACATGACCCAGGATGAAAGCCTGCCTGTGCACTGCTCCTGATTCTGGTTATAAAGCTTTGGTTTTGTTTTAAGAAGTTCCCAACCTATGATATCTGTCATGTCTACAAACAAGTGGCTTCAAACCAACTGTAAGCAAAAAAGTTTGGAACAGTACCCAGCATGATTGCTATGACGTTGCTCTCAGGGAGGGAGCAGAGAAAGAGGTGGGTGAGCATCCTGGGTGGGAGGAACCGACACATTTGCAGAAATATGTGTATTTCAGTGCGCTATGTCAAAGGAGTGACTCTGTCCCCCATGATTGCTACCGACTTTGGAAACCTCCACAGGACCAATC